GGGGGTGGGGTAATTAAAGAATGGGGCGGGGGGGTGGCCAAAATTGTTTTTGCTTTGGGCGGCAAAAATCCTAGAGCCGGCTCTGTTTGTCACCAGCTCATACTACATGGTACTGTCCCTGGTATGTTGGCAAAGCAGTTGATTATATAGTAGGATCTCTCTTTGTTTCTCCTTTACAAAAAATATTTGCCCCAGTGTTTGCACTGAATGTTACATTGGGGAGATATTTGCATTTGAAGTCTAACTTTCTTAATGGGCCAATGGTTACAGAGACAAAAAAATCCTACTGAAACAAAGTACCACTTGTGTAATTATAGTCCATTTTCTAAGGCAGTTTTCTTAAGAGTTCATTCAATAGCTGCAAGAATCAAAGTGGCTTTAGTGCTGTATCAGCATTTGTTTGTGCCTAAAGCTTCAAGCTTATCAATGCAAGTCTGAAAGGTTTGATTTTGTGAACTGGGTTTGATAACCTCATGTTGATAGATAGCCGTGTTAGTCTGTATCCGCAAAAAGAACAGGAGTACTTGTGGCACCTTAGAGACTAACAAATTTATTTGAACGTAAGCTTTCGTGGGCATCCGAAGAAGTGGGCTGTAGCCCACGAAAGCTTATGCTCAAATAAATGTGTTAGTCTCTAAGGTGCCACAAGTACTCCTGTTCTTCTCATGTTGATATTTATCAGCTTCTCTCCAGTGGTGTATTTTTTATTATATCTGATGTATCTCTGTGTTAACATCATTACATCAGCATCTCTGGGTCTGTATTTTTAGCTTACTCATCTCCTTCACTTATCTGGATAAGATGGGAACTAAGGGAGAGTCACCACATGTCTCTTCACCCGGCATGTTGTGGACTTGGACATGGTGCTTGCAATTGTGAGAGTCATTCACTTTGTCATCTGTTTAATATCACTTGGGTCTGAATGCAGACACCTTGTAGAATTCTACCTTTATTATTTTTATAAAATGTATTGTGCATGCATGGGATTATATCATATACCATGCATGATGGGATTATACTTTGATAAACTGTCTATATGTATTGTCATTGTCTGAGTTGCCAGGAAACCTTGGACTCCAGAGAGAGTGAGTTTTTGTCAGGAGAGGAACTAATTATGTGGCATAGACAAAGGATCCGATATTTTTTACAGCAGTGTTTCCCAAAGTGTGGAGCACCAAAGACCAGCTGGAGGGACATGGAACAGTATCAGTGCAAGTGACCGCATGCTGCCCTGCTAATTTGGTGTGTAGTGCATCTGGACTCAGCTTTCAAAAGTTAAGGGATTGCTGCTGCATAATCAAATTGGTCCATAAGCAGATATACTGATAAAAACGGGGAACAGTCAGCAAAGCTTAAGTGCAGTTAGCAACTCAAAGAGGTAGCACCAAACTTTCAGAACCCCAGCAATAGCTTTTTGGTTCAAGTTCTTTAGAGAGACGGTGATCCTGAAACTTCTGCTCCTACAAACTGTTTCCATCTGCTGTATGACTGTGTGCTAACTCGGTCATATATATTCCGAGCACAAAACTTAAGAACGGCACCTTGACATTTAGGCCAGGTTTAAATGTAACAATTAGATCGACCTGGTTATGTCACGCAGGGTTGTGAACAATTTTGCACCCTGTGCAATGTAGTTAGGTTGACCTAACCGCCACTGTAGATGCAGAGCTAGCTACTCAGCGAGGTAGATTACCTACATCAACAGAAAAAAACCTTCCATCAGTATAGGAAGCGTCTAAACTACAGTGGCACTGCTGCAGTGCCATAACTGTGCCACTCTAGTGTAGATATACCCTCAGCCCCATGAGGTCTTCATCTTTACCCTCTTTTTTGCTCCTCCAAATGCCTTGCAATGTAACTTAAAATCACCACCTCCAACCACTGCTCCCAGGTATTATTTGAAACCACCATGAAAAGTATTTCACTTTGTTCTGGGGTTGGGTTTACAGTTGCTTTGCAATACAAAAGATAACCTTATTGGATTTAGCATTCCCACTTAAACACATTGGATGAAATTCTGACCTTATTGAAGTCAGTGGGAGGTCACCTAAGAGCTTGAGTGCTCACCTAAGTGCTGTTAATGGCCCATTAAGTTTAAAAGTATTTGTAGTCCTCACCAGTTTTTTACTGACCTTGAAGCCTTGGAAGTGGCTTAGATTCGAGTATTTCAATAAAGTATTAGTTTTATAATTTTCCCTCTTCTGCTTCACTAAGTTATTCCTCTTGAACATGCAGACTAGAAAATGAATTCATTTGGGAGTGAAGTGACATTTTATTGTAAATCGGCACCTACTGT